TTGACTGGTAGTGTAATTTGAAAAATCTTCGTTCTTATTTCGTGCAGAAACTGTATGTGCCGGAAATGCTGAGGAAGAGCATGATTTTTGCGCAGTCTCTGCACAGACCGCCCAGACGTCCCTGGTGACCTCCTGTACATAATTGATTGTTTATCTTCCTGCTGCATGAATGACAGAAGCGCAGGAGTGTTTCCCGATGTGATCGTCCTGCAGGTGTGACGCCCGTGACCTTGAGATAATCCTCTCATCTGACATCTCAGTTCTGTGCCGCTCAGCACCGCTGTGATAGACAGCAGCACAATGCTTGTTTGGGCCTGTCTGCATGTGTGTGTGTGTGTGTGTGTGTGTGTGTGTGTGTCTTAATGCAGTCTGCTGCATTCATCTCTTTGGGATTGAGACTGTCATTTCCAGTTTGCATGAAGAAACTGGAGACACGTGGTGAACGACATTGACGGGTTTCAGGCCGGATCGAGATGAACAAAGTGTCGTTGTGCTCCTTTAGACAACAAATGCACTGCGGAAAACTAGTTTCGTCTCATTTTTCAGTACAAATATCTAAACATTCTTAAACCAAGATACACTCACTTGAGACGTTATGGAAGCTTGTTTCCGCCACAGAATGAAAAATAAAAAAGGTAATTGCGACTTTTTATCTCACAATTCTGACTTTTTTTCTCACAATTGCGAGTTTACATCTCGCAATTCTGACTTTATTTCTCAGAATTGCGAGTTATAAAGTCAGAATTGCGTGATATAAAATCGCAATTGCGTGTTATAAAGTCAGAATCGTGAGATATAAAGTCAGAATTGCGAGATATAAAGTCAGAATTTATTGATATAAAGTCAGAATTGTGAGATATAAAGTCGAAATTGTGAGATATAAAGTCAGAATTGTGAGATTTAAAGTCAGAATTGTGAGATATAAAGTCAGAATTGCGTGATATAAAGTCGAAATTGCATGTTATAAAGTCAGAATTGCGTGTTATAAAGTCAGAATTGTGAGATCTAAACTATTCTGAGGGGAAAAAAGTCTTTTTTCCCCCTTAGAATTGGCCTGATAACTCGCAATTGCGCGTTTATATCTCACTCTTTATATCTCTATCTTTCTGAGAAAAGATGTCAGAAATTCGAGACATAAACTCGCAATTATGTGTTATAATGTCAGAATTGCGAGATGTAAACTCGCAATTGTGAGAAAAAAGTCAGAATTGTGAGATAAAAAGTCGCAATTCTGTCTTTTTGCGACTTTATTTCTCATAATTGCGACTTTATATCTCGCAATTGCGACTATTTCTAAGAATTGCAACTTTATATCTCGCAATTGCGACTTTATTTCTCACAATTCTGACTTCATATCTCACAATTGTGAGATAAAAAAGTCGCAATTATTTTTACATTTTTTTTTTATTCAGTGGCGGAAACAAGCTTCCATAGACGTAAAATGAAGTATTATTTACTGGGAGAAAAAACACTAAATTAAGTGCTTAAAACAGGACCAAATATCTGCCAATGGAGTCAGAAAATGTTCAGAAGATGTTTTGCTTTTCTAAAGTTTAGATATTTGTACTGGAAAACAAGACAGAAATACTGAGGAAGAAGAACATGTTTTGGCAGTGTGCAGCATAAAAATTAATATAAGAGTTGAATTTAGATTCTAAACATGCTTTTTAGACTGGAGAGGAAGTTCTGAAAGTTACAGTATGTTTTCATAGTAATATCGAACTCTTGCATCTCTTTTTTATGATTTGACCCCTTTAATAAATCCAAAGCAGGCATATGGGATGGCGATTGATTTATTCATGCGGTTCTTGGCTCTGCTGAATATAGTAATGATGGGAAATGTTGGCGGCCCTCTTTGATATTAAGCCAGTGTTCGTTTTCTTTCTGATTTTATATTAATTAGAGGAATGATGACAGCTCTGAAGGCATTTTATGCAATAAAAATATAATTTTCTATCACAGCTGCGAGATGCTTCCACACAGGGTCTAAAATTAACACTCGCCAAGAGCCAAATGTCAATAAAGACTGGCTTTCACTGGTCACTCGCCAGCTGGACGGAAAATATATTAGGAACCGCAAGATAATATAGAAATATATGAGGATATTCTGTTGCAAAAAATGAGAGTGATTTAAATGAGATATACAAACATCTACTGAATTTGATGAATCTGATGAATTTCTTCATGTGTCTTGGGAAAGAGATGGAGCCTGGATTTACTTTCAGCCTAAAAACACATAAATAAATAAATAAAAATTGCAGCCTTTTCCTTTCATACAGTTCCTGTTAAAAAACACAAGTAAAAATTAAAAAAAGATTGAATGAATGATTGAATAAATAAATAAGCAAATAAATAAATGATAATTGCATCATTTTCTTGTCACACTGTCTTTATAAGTGAAGAGTTTGGTTCCAAAACGCAATAAATCCATTTAGATTAATTTGAGTAAAAATGTGTTTTCTTTACCAAGAAAGTGGAAAGATGAAAACCACTATTTTCTGTTTCAAACTTTCACATAGCATTTGTAGGTCATAATAACAAATCCAGGTTTTGATTTTCAAAGATTTATTATAAAAACGGATTATTTTTCCCCCCAAAATGCAATAAATCCATTAAAAAAATAAATCTAAATGCAATTAATCCATTGAATCAATATAAAAGTTTTTTTCTTCATATTGAAACTGTTGAAAATACACCACAACGTAAGTTTATTAGTATAATATTTTTATTAAGAACTGTAAAGAAGATTGAAAACATTTGTCCTCCTCCCGAGTGCCTCATCTTCTTAATCTCCTCACATAAATGATTCGATTTCGATGCCTTACGCTTCTTACCCACCGCAGAAACAACCACAGGTTCATCAATGCCGTCAAAATTATTCTTTTTTTTTGTTTGTTTGTTGATCGAAAGTACAAAATAGATCAGAAAAACTAGGAAGCCGGGTGTATTTAAGGCGCTGCCGTTACTGTTTACATTGTGTGGAATGGTGCGTTGTGATTGGTTGAGAGTGGAATGGTGCGTTGTGATTGGTTGAGAGCGGATATATCGCATTCTGCAGAGAAGGGAGACTGGCGTTTGTCGCGGTTTGGAAAGAAAGGGAGAAAACATGACAGAATAACACGGCGGATATCGCATTTTACTTCAAATTAAACATGGACTTTTCAATACCAACCAGATACAATACTGATTTTTGCAGTAACTATTTTTTTTTTTTTAAATGGCGTTTATCGCGTTTTGGAACCAAACTCTTCAAATAAAAAAGGAAAAGAAAACAAATAAATGAACACATTCAAATAATTCAAATAAAATAAAATAAGGTTTCACGGCCGGTACGTAATCCATCATTGACCGGCAAAAAGTACATTTTGGACCCTGGTTTCGCATGATTTTCTGTGCAGTTCTGAGGGTAATTTCATTCATCCTATTTCAATGTAAATCTTATAAGCACAAGAATCTCAGTTCTTACTCTCTGAAGACCCTTTCATATAAACACACCTTGAAACAGGAGTCTCTCAACGTGAGGCCGATCTTCGCCAGATCATTGAAAACACACTTCTGACCAACTGCTGTTTCATGTAAAAGCATTTGGATTTACTTTTTTCTGACACTGACCGATTGATTATATCAGCACTAATTGCTTTTAAAAGTCGATGATTTTTTAAAGTGTCATTTTTCCACCAGCAAGTCTAGTGATGACATGTAAAGGTTTATAGTTGGTCTATATCCAGATTCATGGACCACAACTGCATGTTTGCTAATAGAAATAATGATTTATTTTTTCAAATCACTAAATGTGAAAAATGTAAAGATGTGAAATACTCAAGGAAAACAGCTTACCAGCCACTACTGTGCTTCCCTCCTGAGTCACACACACACGGCCTGTAATTATTCCCTTATTTGTGTTTATTCTGCCGGGAGTGTGTTTGCGGGAGGATTTTATGAAATCTCAGCCGGTCTCAGAGATGAATGTATCCCACAATCCCTCATGGATACAGATCTCAGTGTCCGCTCAAGGTCAGTTAGAGGGCAGAAGGAAAGACTCACGGCTGCAGATTTCTGCCATCTTCAGCTTGTGCTGAAAAATATTTTTTGAAAAATTACAGATTTTATCCTTAAGAAACTGATTGGATGGCGAAAAGCATCTCTATAAAGATGGTTTGATCCCAGCTAGCAGGAAACGTTCAGACAAGGTTCTCTTAAAGTTAAGAATAAACGAGTAACGGTAATAAAACGCTCGTTCAAAGTTATCTGGTCTGATAACACAGTTATGATCTGATCTCTGATCTCCCTCTGTAGAGCACGATGAGTGTGTGTCCGAATACACACTCTCACACACACACACACACACACACACACACACACACACACACACACACACACACACACACACACACACACACACACACACACACACAGTTATGATCTGATCTCTGATCTCCCTCTCTAGAGCATGATGAGTGTGTGTCCGGGCAGCACAGCAGCGATGAATACACACACACACACACACACACACACACACACACAGTTATGATCTGATCTCTAAACTCCCTCTCTAGAGCACAATGAGTGTGTGTCCGGGCAGCACAGCTGCGATGAATACACACTCACACACACACACACACAGTTATGATCTGATCTCTGATCTCCCTCTCTAGAGCACGATGAGTGTGTGTCCGGGCAGCACAGCTGCGATGAATACACACTTACACACACACACACACACACACACAGTTATGATCTGATCTCTGATCTCCCTCTCTAGAGCACGATGAGTGTGTGTCCGGGCAGCACAGCTGCGATGAATACACACTCACACACACACACACAGTTATGATCTGATCTCTGATCTCCCTCTCTAGAGCACGATGAGTGTGTGTCCGGGCAGCACAGCTGCGATGAATACACACTCACACACACACACACACACACACACACACACACACACACACACACACACACACACACACAGTTATGATCTGATCTCCGATCTCCCTCTCTAGAGCACGATGAGTGTGTGTCCGGGCAGCACAGCTGCGATGAAAACGCTCTGTGTTTCAACACCGTCGGCGGCCACAGCTGCTCCTGCAAACCCGGATACACCGGCAACGGCACCACCTGCAGAGGTGAGACAGTCTTCCATCTGCCACCTCACCCCGTCACGTGACCCGTCTCACTCTCACCCCAGTCACGTGACCCGTCTCACTCTCACCCCGTCACGTGACCCGTCTCACTCTCACCCCAGTGACGTGACCCGTCTCACTCTCACCCCGTCACGTGACCCGTCTCACTCTCACCCCAGTGACGTGACCCGTCTCACTCTCACCCCAGTGACGTGACCCGTCTCACTCTCACCCCAGTCACGTGACCCGTCTCACTCTCACCCCAGTGACGTGACCCGTCTCACTCTCACCCCGTCACGTGACCCGTCTCACTCTCACCCCGTCACGTGACCCGTCTCACTCTCACCCCAGTCACGTGACCCGTCTCACTCTCACCCCGTCACGTGACCCGTCTCACTCTCACCCCGTCACGTGACCCGTCTCACTCTCACCCCGTCACGTGACCCGTCTCACTCTCACCCCAGTCACGTGACCCATCTCACTCTCACTCAGTCACGTGACCCATCTCACTCTCACCCCGTCACGTGACCCGTCTCACTCTCACCCCGTCACGTGACCCGTCTCACTCTCACCACGGTCACGTGACCCGTCTCACTCTCACCCCGTCACGTGACCCGTCTCACTCTCACCCCGTCACGTGACCCATCTCACTCTCACCCCGTCACGTGACCCGTCTCACTCTCACCCCGTCACGTGACCTGTGTTACTCTCACCCCAGTGACGTGACCCGTCTCACTCTCACCCCGTCACGTGACCCGTCTCACTCTCACCCCAGTGACGTGACCCGTCTCACTCTCACCCTGTCACGTGACCCGTCTCACTCTCACCCCAGTCACGTGACCCGTCTCACCCTCAACCCGTCACGTGACCCGTCTCACTCTCACCATGGTCACGTGACCCGTCTCACTCTCACCCCGTCACGTGACCCGTCTCACTCTCACCCCGTCACGTGACCCGTCTCACTCTCACCCCAGTCACGTGACCCGTCTCACTCTCACCCCGTCACGTGACCCGTCTCACTCTCACCCCGTCACGTGACCCGTCTCACTCTCACCCCGTCACGTGACCCGTCTCACTCTCACCCCAGTCACGTGACCCATCTCACTCTCACTCAGTCACGTGACCCATCTCACTCTCACCCCGTCACGTGACCCGTCTCACTCTCACCCCGTCACGTGACCCGTCTCACTCTCACCACGGTCACGTGACCCGTCTCACTCTCACCCCGTCACGTGACCCGTCTCACTCTCACCCCGTCACGTGACCCATCTCACTCTCACCCCGTCACGTGACCCGTCTCACTCTCACCCCGTCACGTGACCTGTGTTACTCTCACCCCAGTGACGTGACCCGTCTCACTCTCACCCCGTCACGTGACCCGTCTCACTCTCACCCCAGTGACGTGACCCGTCTCACTCTCACCCTGTCACGTGACCCGTCTCACTCTCACCCCAGTCACGTGACCCGTCTCACCCTCAACCCGTCACGTGACCCGTCTCACTCTCACCATGGTCACGTGACCCGTCTCACTCTCACCCCGTCACGTGACCCATCTCACTCTCACCCCAGTGACGTGACCCGTCTCACTCTCACCCCGTCACATGACCGTCTCACTCTCACCCCGTCACGTGACCCGTCTCACTCTCACTCTCACCCCGTCACGTGACCCGTCTCACTCTCACCCCATCACATGACCCGTCTCACTCTCACCCCATCACATGACCCGTCTCACTCTCACCCCGGTCACATGACCCGTCGCACTCTCACCCCATCACATGACCCGTCTCACCTGTGTGTGTCCTCTCTCTGACCCTCAGCGCTCTGCGACGGACGCTGTCTCAACGGGGGCTCCTGCGTGACTCCGAACATCTGTGTGTGTCCGCAGGGCTTCAGCGGGCAGAACTGCGAGACCGGTAAGATTCACTCCTAACGCCTCTTTCTGATCTCCAGTGCTTTCCAACGCCTCTCTCAGCTCCTCCAGCTCGGCTGAGGACTCTTTCATCTCGTTGCGAACAAAGCGTGAGTGTGTAAATTGCAGTTTTGAAGACGAGTGCTTGATTGCGGATGTTTGCTGTGGGAGGAAGAGTGAAGCTGAACTATATCATAGTAATGGTGTATACAGTTACTTTTGCTGGAAATTCAACAAGAAGTGCTCTCTGTATAAACACACACACACACACACACACAAACACACATGCAGACACACACACACGCACATGTGTGTATTTATAAATACTAAATTATTATACGCAGTACACACACATATATTATGTAAACACAAACTTTTATTTTGGACGCGATTAATCGTTGCCCAGCACTAATATATATATAATTCTCTACTTTTGTCTAATCCTAATTACAAATGAAATGTTCTAGTTTGTGATGTTGCTCAGCATCAACTAAACAAACAGTTTAACCTGTTATATCTAATAACATGTTCTTCCTCATCTAGACTAGTTTGAGCGAGTCTTGCTCTGTCTGTATTTTCACATAACCTTCCCTTTATATACTTGCTATTCTTCTGTTTAAAAAAAAATATGATTATGTCTCCTGTACACACACTCATTTGTCTTGTCTTAATTTAGGCCTCAAGCTTTGTTTAGTTTACTAAATAGAGCATCAGTTCCTCCTACAGATAAAGGGAAACGCGTCCACCATCTGTGCGTTTATCATCTCAGTGAAACAGAGTCATCTTTGTTTCTCGTTCCCTCTCACCCGCCGCCGGCTCACGTTTATTTACCGGGTTCTGCTGTTATTGAGCCCCTGGGTAAAACCACAGCTCTCCGTCGCTCTACTTCTGAGCTGGATGGAGACAGATTACATGTTTTAATGAAAACACGAGAAGAAACTCTCAGTGGAAACGTGCAGCGACTTTTGCTTTGTGTCGTAGATTAGCATTGTGTTTTGATGCGCTAGTCCCGCGTGAGCAATTTCCAGCAGATGTTGCCTGTTTCTGGACGGTTTCACACAGCAGACGAACCGAACGAATCCAATGAGACACACAGCGCACGTCTCAACCCATCGATCCCCATATAAAGGCCATTTTTACGAGATGCCCTCACTCTGGCCTTTGATTAAAATCAAATGGCTTTTCTTTCAGAATTTTCTGTTCGCTTTCTCCTAGAGGATACAAGATGGAATGAATCGGATGAGTTAGTTTTTTTTCTCCCACATTGATGTTGGAATCGTATTTAACAATTTTTCACAAACCACCAGAGACCCTTGAAGCAAAAGGTCTTACAAAGTTCATGTAACCGAACTGTTTCATAAAATCAAAACACGAGAGGTTGTGTTATATTGTGAATATTGTCATGTCAACTCTATTAAGCCATGAGACACAGCAAGATAAAATAAATTGCAAATAATAGAAGTCATAATATTCTGTAAAATTGTCAACATTTTAACTAAAAAAGCAAAGTTTGTCAATACAAATGTTTTGAAAGCTTAGTTCAGGAAAAAGTTTAAAAGCTTTGAACTTTATGGACAGATAGACAGATAGATAGACGGATAGATAGATAGATAGACAGACAGACAGACAGACAGACAGACAGACAGACAGACAGACAGACAGACAGACAGATAGATAGATAGATAGATAGATAGATAGATAGATAGATAGATAGATAGATAGATAGATAGATAGATAGATAGATAGATAGATAGATAGATAGATAGATAGATAGATAGATAGATAGATAGATAGATAGATAGATAGATAGATAGATAGATAGATAGATAGATAGACAGACAGACAGACAGACAGACAGACAGACAGATAGATAGATAGATAGATAGATAGATAGATAGATAGATAGATAGATAGATAGATAGATAGATAGATAGATAGATAGATAGATAGATAGACGTCAAATGTATTAATGCATTACATGTCTGCTTTTCTACTCCGTAAATCCAGTTTGTGTTTTGATGGTCAGTGTTTTGATGGTCTGTGTTTTGATGGTCAGTGTTTTGATGATCAGTGTTTTGATGGTCAGTGTTTTGATGGTCAGTGTTTTGATGGTCTGTGTTTTGATGGTCAGTGTTTTGATGGTCTGTGTTTTGATGGTCAGTGTTTTGATGGTCAGTGTTTTGATGATCAGTGTTTTGATGATCAGTGTTTTGATGGTCTGTGTTTTGATGGTCTGTGTTTTGATGATCAGTGTTTTGATGGTCAGTGTTTTGATGATCAGTGTTTTGATGGTCAGTGTTTTGATGGTCAGTGTTTTGATGGTCAGTGTTTTGATGGTCTGTGTTTTGATGGTCAGTGTTTTGATGATCAGTGTTTTGATGGTCAGTGTTTTGATGGTCAGTGTTTTGATGGTCAGTGTTTTGATGGTCTGTGTTTTGATGGTCAGTGTTTTGATGGTCAGTGTTTTGATGGTCAGTGTTTTGATGGTCAGTGTTTTGATGGTCAGTGTTTTGATGGTCAGTGTTTTGATGATCAGTGTTTTGATGGTCAGTGATGGTCTTCATTGTGTGTCAGGACTGAAGAGGCAGTTCTGACTGTAATTTTGTCAGCATGATGTCTGTGCCATTTTCCTCGTCCTGCTGTTTGTCTAGTAAAGTGTCTGTTGGAAAATAGGCATTTTTGATTCCTGCTGGGCAGCCTGAAGCCTCAGCCGTCAAATGAACTAATAAAGCAGCAGAAACGCAGAATAAATGAGCTGGTGCTGTTGAACTGATGCTAGAGCAGGTTTACGAATGAAAGCACGCTAGTTTGATATTCACCTGGAGGCCTGATGTTATTTTTATTCTGCTCAAGTTTCAATCAACTTGGTTATGAATCAAACGGCATGAAAATGCAGCGAATAACAGACAAACACACTCACAGCTTCACAGGAGCCAGTGAATTCATGCAGACATTTGCAAAACCTTCTAATGCTGCATCCGAAATGAAAAGGAACCTCATGAATGAGTGATTTCAATGGGCAAAAACTCATAGCGAAGGACATCAAACTTGCATCATGATTTCAGGAGTTTTTCCATTAGCATACTGCTATCTTTTGCTCCTGTAAGCTTAAACATACATAGTAGAGAGTGTTTTAATTAGATGCAAGATGACATCATCAACATCAAAATAGATACTGTTAATCTATTCACCACTCTGAATTTAAAAAAAAATGTTTTTAATGTTTTTGAAAGATATAACATAACTTTTGATCAATTTAACGTGTCCATGCGGAGTGAAAGTATTCATTTCTTTCCAAAAACTCCTTTCATAGAGTCTTTCTAAAGCAGATACGGACGTTTACTTGCATCCGAGTTTCAGCTTTGAGGGAAATATTACAGCATAAACAAACAAGAATAAACAGAATCATCAAAGTGAGTCGAGAATGAGAAAACAATCATCAACAAAAGGATGAAACCGCTCTTTCATAAAGGTAATAAAGGGAAGATGAGAAACAAACAGAAGCGAACACGATGCAAAATTTACTCAACAAAGACAATAGTCAATCAAAGAGTATAAATCTCTCTAAATAGGCAAAATAGTAAGTTTTATGTTTTCTCCGTCATTGATCCGCTGTTTCTGAGGCGTTTTCTGAGCATCATGCTATGATACAAACCTTTATCAAACTCAAATGAACTAGAATCTTCCCTTACATAAGCGTTCGATCAATAAACATTATAATCAGATGCATATCACACGCCTCGAGATGCAAGAGGGTTTCCTCAGTTAACCGGGACGCTCGAGTCTTCAGAAGCTCAATGCTTTATACTGTACGTCTCCTCTGGAGCCACCGAGAGCAAGTCATGAGCCTCAAAGAGAATCACACTCTCACAAATACAAGAGGCTGTGTGTGTGTGTGTGTGTTTGGGGCTCTGGGATACGACTGAACATGAAAATGCTTTCACTCGCCTGCTCTCTTGTCCTCTTCTCTGGCTTTTACGAATCCTCTCGAGACCATCTGACAAACTATTCGAGCAGAGAAAGACACAGGCATGATATGGAGGATGATCTGAGGGAAAATTCACTGAAAACCATGCACAGAAAGAAAGGACACGGGATTAGCATGCATGCTAGGTGTCTCTGCACCTCAATGATGTCATCGCGTCCCTATAGAGGCTGCGGAGACGCAGGAGATGCATTATTCACACAATCGCGCACATGCAATCACAGACTATACAATCACGCTACTTGCATTATTCACAATGCACATAATCGCAAACAAATCACACACTTGCATGTACATGCAATCACAGATATAAATGCACATTGCATATGCATTATTCACAATGCACACAAAAATCACAAGTGAAGATTATTCAAACATTCTGTATGCATTATTCACAATGCACACAAACCACATGCATGCACACACACAACAAATCATGCACAAATGCACACAAAATTACAAGTACTTGTGGACATCAAACAAACATGCTAAATGGCATGCCTTATTCACAAAACACATGAATCGAATTGTACAAATACGGTATGTGCATTATTCACAACGCACACATAACAAATCACACCTGCACGCTCAAAGAAATCACAAGTGCAGATTATAAAAACATGCTGAATGCATTAATCACAATGCACACAAACCATGTGCATGCACACACAACAAACAAATCACACACATATGCACACAGAAACACAAGTACTTGTGCACATTAAACAAACACACATGCATTATTCACAAAACACACTTGCATGTACTTGCAATCACAAATATAAATGCACATTGTATGTGCATTATTTACAATGCACACGTATGCAAACACAAAAAAGACGCGCACATGTACAAACATGCTGTATGCATTATTCACAAACATGCATACACAAAAAATCACAAGTGCACATTATGCAAACATTATTCACAATGCACACAAACTACACACACACACAAATGGACTTGTGCACATTAAACAAACATGCTACATGCATTATACACAAAACAATCGCAAACAA